ACATTTAGAAGTGTCCATACTCTCTGATGTAGGAAGTGATGTGCAAGTGATCACTGGGGACATTTAAGACTACACAATACTAGATTTGAGCAGCAATCCTGGTTCTGGCCGACCACTTGTGATGGGATCACTTGGGACCGAGGTTAATGCCGAGTGCAAATGGAGCCTTTGACTGCATGTGCATGAGATGAGAGGATGTATAACACAGAGTGAGTTCAGTGACCTCTGGTGCCGCTCGGGTTTTCCTTCTCTCTTTTAAGCCGGTTTTCAAGCCTCAACCAACCTCCCGTTGCATGCCTGGCGCTGCTATCTAGTATCTGCGTAAACACTATCAGATCTTCCTCTCTACTTCTCCTCCCTTCCCTCTGTAGACCCCACTCTGTAGAGCCGCTTCTTCACAAGCACCTCGACAGATTGAGCTGATTACAACCCTCCTGCTGTAGTAACACTCGCTCTGTTTGATCCGTGAGCCCAGATGAACTTCTGCATACAGGAAGATCTAACATTAGCTATCTTGCTGCCCACTTCATTGTGTAGTTCAATAAGACCAGCAGACATATTAACCTTAAATTAAACCACATCTGGTGATAAAAAAACAACTAATTATCACAATATAATTTTCCCAGATAAAAATAACAAAAGTTACTGTAGTAGATGTGTAAAATGTATTACAAGAGTAATGGCATATATGTACAGTATTTGTGTCATGTATTTAGGCAAATGTTTTTCGTAACAAATACCATATAGTTACATTTTACCATGATATGAGTGATGTTACATATATGTCCCAACTCAAGCTACTGGTATACTGTCAATTCAAGTTACTGTCAAATGTGCATTTCTAAGAGACAAAATTTGTAATAGTATTAATATTGCAGCCTGCACTATGAACTGTGCCAAAGATACATGAAATAATAATATCTGTAGACATGCAGAAACTTAAGAAATACAATTTTATAGTAATATATTTATTTTGTTAAGAAGAATATACTGGAAAAGGATTTCTCATGCATATTTTTTTATGTGTAGAAATATTTGATCATTATAAATGTTTTGAATATTTTATACCTCAGATTTGTGAAAGCTGTTTGGGGAGTTTTTGTTTCCTTTTCTGACAAATAAAGAGTAGTTTTTAAAACCACAATTAATCATCTGGTTTCTACAACTTTTACTGAGAAGCAAAAATCTGCCTTTAAGCTTGGAAGAAAGATTTGACATTTATTGTGATAATTATCCAAATGGACTGTAATGAAAATGTTATTGTGATAACAACGCTAATGTGGCTGATGATATTGACAGCTCACCATAAATGAACTCTCAGCTCACCAAGGCTGCTTTATTTGATGAAAAAAAAAAATGACAGAAATATTGTGAAATATTATGACAATTTAAAATGACTGTTTTCTATTTTAATGTATTTTAAAATGTAATTTGAAAGCTGAATTTTCAACATCATTACTGTTGCTGATTACACATCAGTATTCAGTGTCACATGATTCTTCAGAAATCATTCTAATATGCTGATTTTATGCTCAAAAAACAAATTATTATTTCCAATGTTGAAAACAGTCGTGTGCCATTTTTCCCTAAAATTCTATGATGAATAGAAAGTTCAAAAGAACAGCATTTATTTAAAATATAATCTTTTCTAACATTGTAAATGTCTTTACTGTAACTTTTGATCAATTTAACTCATCCTTGATGAATAAAAATATTTTCTAATTTCTTTCCCCCAAAAATAAAAAATAAATTCTTACTGACCCCAAACTTTTTAATGGTAGTGTTTAATGTTACAAAAGCTTTCCATTTCAGATCAATTATGTTCTTTTGAACTTTCTATTCATCAAAGACTCCTGAAGTAAAAATGTAAAAAACTGTTTTCAACATGGATAATAATCATAAATGTTTCTTGAGCATCATATTATAATAATTTCTGTTGGATCATGTGACACTGAAGACTGCAATGAGAGTAATGATGCTGTAAATTCAGCTTTGATGACAGGAATAAATTACACTTCATTATATATTCACATAGAAAACCGCTTTTTTAAATTGTAATCATATTTCACAATATTTCTGTTTTGTTTTTTGTTTTTTTGTTGTTGTTTTTTTGTATTTTTTATAAAAATAATTGCAGCCTTGGTGAGCAGACGAAAGTTCTTTTAAAAACAAAAAAAACTCTTACCGATCTAAAACTTTTGACCGGTAGAGTATACTGTATACAGGGACGTGCACAGGGGGGTTGCTCAGGTTGCCCGGGCAACTGCCCATATATTCTCGACTCAGGTTGCCCTTCTGAGGAAAAAAAAAATCGTACAATGGATGTAGAATTTCACGTAGGCCTAGACAAAAAATAATATAAAAATCGCAAAGCCTCATTCACTTCCAAAAAAAAAAAAGAATTAGAAAGTCAAACTGTTTCCACGAAACCATAGACTGCACGCGACCGGTGCGTATTTAGGCACCGCAAATTACTCAGGCCGCGCCTCCATCTCGTGTCGCGCGCTAATTAATGTGTACGAAGTCCATGACAAAATGAAGCGAAACTATGCTTCTCGTCACGAAAAGAGGAAGAAGAAAAACATGAGAGTGAATTGCGGGAACAGCAGTCAGGTAAACTTGTGTTCTGTCCTCTCTAGTGTCAGCAAAGTTTGATGGTTTGTCTGGGCAGGCAGTGCATCTCTTGCATCACTTTTTGCCTGACAAAAGTGAGAGTAAAATACCATTATTTATTACGTTTTGTTTTTGATAAACGACAAAGTGCAACAACAGTGTTTGTTTACTGCAGCTCGGAAAACATAACCGCGTCGCGTGTGTTGCGTTCATATGCGCGTGCACGAAATGAAACTCGCATTTTTCAAGCAGAAATGTGGAGACCAGAGAAATACTGTACAATACGTGAATGATGGCACTCGCAATCAAAGTACACATTATAAAGACACTGATTATCTAGTCTCAGTGTAGTTAAAAACTCTAACTAATTATGCAAGATATAAACCAATGTATTGGCAATTTGACATTGATTGACTATTGATTTATAGGCTATATTGAATTTAAAATGATGATTAGATTCTGGTCAATATGAATGCAAATCCCTCAGTAAATAACCATAAATCAAGATTTGCTTTAACATGCATAAAAATAAAAAAAAAAATAGATAAAAATCATAGGCTACTGATTCCGAAAATACCCTGGCTGTAGAGAGAACCAAAGTTAATCCCAAAAGCCAAAGTTCAGGGTTGTACTTTTATTATTTTCTTCTTGTTTATGTTTACGTTAATATTCACTTGTTATCTTAACATTCTATAAAAATGCTTTATTCAGTAAATATTGTTTGTTTGAAACTCATTCTATTCTATACTGTTGTACTTATTCTTTGACTGTTTTGTTTAAAGGAGGGAGGATTGTATTGGGCGGTATTGAGTGGCAATGGTTTATATGGCTCACGGCATCACAGGTAGAGGGCCCCTTAGCAGAATTTTGCTTAGGGCCCCAGGGGGAGGTCAGGATTGGCAAAAAAAAAGAATTGTATTTTTTCCCGAAATCTAAGCGTTTTTTATTTTTTCGAGTTTTTTCGAATCCAGATTCAATCAATCCAGATTATTTCTTTTCAAATAAATAAATAAATAAATAATAATTTAAAAAACAATAAACAACAATATGAAGAACTCTTTTGCTCATTTGTCTCATCTCTGACATTTTGCAATCTTTATAAATAATTATAAGACCATAAGATGAGGCATTGCGTTTGGACATAAACACGGCCAGATAAGGCAATTTGGAAGGGGACAAATTCAACTGAATATATTCCTTCATATAGCCCGTGAGGGGGGAGGAGGGGGGGGGGGTGCCCTTTTTTCAGGTCAGAGCAACTGCCCCTCAAAATTCCTGTGCACGTCCCTGACTGTATATATATATATATATACAGTATATATATATATATATATATATAGATATATAGATAGATAGATATAGATAGATATAGATTAATCAAAATAAAACTGAAATGGCAATATGGCTTTGTGCGATTATCCTATCTCAATATATGAAATCGGTTTAATTAAAACAAATTTTGCTGCGCTGCGTGTTTCAGAGTGAAGCGCTGCGGTGTCTTCTTAAATTTAAGCAGCTCATAATCTGCCGAATGCAAACCTGGAATTAGTATTAATTGCATTTTAAATCTCAATCACATTTTTTATCAGGAATATCGCAATTTGATTAGTTTTCTCCCTCAAACTATGAGGATTACTGTATTTATTGGAAATCTAACTAATACATATTTTTCTCTTTTCCGGATTTGTCAAAATGTTGGCTATTTTAGTTTGCCAAGTACAACATAAATATTTGTTTATCATTTTAATCCTGATGTTTGTTATAGTTTTCACTGGTTTCCTCTTCATTGACATGGTCATCAGCTTGATGCCGGTTATCTGATTAGTGTGACATGTTAGCTTGAGGCGGCTCTAGCTAAAAGGTTCTCTCATGCATTTAATTGAAAGGCTTGTTGTTAGCACAAACCTGCAAAGCGTGTGTTTCTGCAATTACTGTGTCATGCTCTTTGACGAGAACACGTTTCGTCACGCATGTGTGATTACTTTCCCTCTCTCTGCATGACGGCGGGGTAAAGACTGACCTACTGACCTTCTGACCCTACAAACACATTAGTGTTAGCTTATTCTTATTAGACTCACATTAAAGCAGGGACCTGAGCTTTTATCTAGGGATGGGAATACTATTTTAAATGTGTTTTAAAATCCCGTTTATTCCTGTGATGGCAAAGCTGAATTTCCAGCATCATTACTCACATGTTCCTTCAGAAATCATTCTAATAAGATGATTTGCTGCTCAATAAATATTTATTATTATTATTATCAATGTTTAAAAGTGTTGTGCTGCTTAATATTTTGGTTGAAAGCAGGACTTTGAAAAATAGAATCAGGATTTATTTGAAATAGAAATATTTTGTAACATTTTAAATGTCTTCACCTTTTGTTTTACAGACCAGTGCACAGTAACAAGATCTTATCTGTTCCTGCACAAGTTTTGGTTCTTCAGCACCATCTACTATTTTGGAAACTGGGCTTTCCTTTTGGTAAGTTCATGAATTTTTGAAAACATTCTGCTATATTATGTATATTATTATCACTACAAGGACCTATAGGATTTATGCAATATCCCGAGAGTAGTGTGTCTTAATGCATCTGCTGATGTGTTGCAGGTCTTTCTCATTGGTTTGGTTGTTTCGTGCTGTAAAGGGAAGAAATCGGTGATTGAAGGGGCAGTTGATGCCGACGACTCAGATCTCAGTGATGATGAATATGTACATTAACTCCTGGTTTAGTTACTACTAAAGTTCTGTTTTAACTTGGTTTGGTTGCCAGTCAGAACTGGAATGAAAGAAAAATTAGTTTTCTATCTTCTCACAACTCGTATTCCGTTCGTTGTTCAGAGACAGAATTATTGACGCTCTATAAGAATCAATTGAATGTGTTATGATGCCAAACAGATTTTGTGTCACTCTAGAGTAATTGTCATGTGTAACTGATAGCAGTAGTCTGATATCTAACACTACTGACCCTAACTAAGGGTTTATCTGCATGTAATTGTGCATTGCTGTCTGGAATAATTCAACAAAACAGTTGCACATAAAAAGGGTTTAGATTCTTATGCTGATTTATTTATTTATTGGTTTGTTTGTTTTTTTAATGCTGTGCATATCTGTATTTTTTTTTCCTGTCTTGCACAGAGGTGGCGAACTTCGGTCCTAGAGAGCCCCAGTCCAGTTTAGCGTAAACCCTTATCAAACACACCTGAACAAGCTTTCCCAATGTCTGAAGTTACTAGAAAAGCTAGGTGAGCTTTTATCAGGGTTGGAGCTTAACTTTACGGGACTTTGGCTCTCCAGGACTGACGATGCTCCAGTGTTTCTGACATGTGCTGTCTTTATTGTAACTTAATTACTGGCATATTACTTGTTGATTGATTTCACATAGATCTTTATTTTAGATTGTACTTGTAAAGACAGGAGAACTTGCACAGTTCTAGAGAACTGATGCAAGATCAAAAAGTGTGTAAAAATGTATTTATCATATAGTGTTGGCCTGTTGCCGTTTTCTGAAATTAATGTTTCTATTGCAAGATAATCCATTAATAAAGACTAAAAACGATATATCTTGTTTTAAAAAGAATACAATGATTTGATTGTAATTTATACTTAAATGATTTAGAACGTTGATTAAAGGTACAATATGCAGGATTTTTGCAGTAAAATATCCAAAAACCACTAGGCCAATGTTATATATTTTGTTTTGTTGATTACTTACAATATCCCAAATGTTTCCAACTATTTGTAAATCGCGAGAAAATTGCGATTTTTAACCAAGGAAACGGGACGTGTGAGCAGGGGTGATGAGTCGCTAGTCCGGTTTCTGATTTCCCCCTGAGATAGTGAACCAATCACAGAACGGGGAGGGAGCAGCAAGACAATGACGACGTACAGTATATGCGACACACCTAAGCAGTTTGTTTATATATATGGACCCATCATGGCAGCGGACGCGAAGTTACCTTTTGATTCAGCCTAATGCTTGACATTAAACATATCGGCTCGACTGATTTGCATGGAGGGGATTTAAAGCTGTTCCGTTACTGGTGATCCACTTTTATAATTTTTACTTCAAATAACATTAGCCTATTGTCTTGATCACATATTGTACCATTTCATGTGTTTTAACAGCTATTTCGTGTTGCTATTGACACAGTTGTTCACTCAGGTAAAGTAATCGTTTTTTAAATGAACAAACTCCTTTTTAATTCAATATTTTGTGTCAAATTATTGATTTATTTGGTAGGTAGCCATGTTAAAAGTGGGAAAAATGTATATCAAGGTGGTTGTTACAGCGAATACACAACCCCTTCAGGCTTATTCAAGACCCCTCCGCTTCGCAATCGTCTAGCTATACATTATCCCTTACTTTTATTTATTTATTTCTATGAGGGCTGACAAGACAAAATAAGGACTGTCAAGTTTGTTTAAACAGTGCGGTGTAGCAACCAAACCAGTAGCACTACCATTTTTGCAGCTCCGAAAGCGGACCTTTTTTTTACTGATGTAATGACGCAATGACGTGCACTTGCTAGCCTGTTTTCATTTACGTGTTGTCCGAATGCTAAAGAGGAGCCTCGTCTAGCCTCTGAAGGAAATGACTTGGAAGGACCCGTCCTGCCAAGGACGTATCCTTTACATTGAGAAACACGTTTTGTGTATACATAAATCTCTGACCCATCGTCGTCTTCATCGTCTAATTTTCTGCCGCTCTACATACGTCATCTGGTATCATTGACCGTACAGGCGCATATGATAGACATTCGTAGCACCCTATAATACGGCTCTGGGCATTCGTAAACCACGACTCAAATATGAGAAGATGACCATGTGATTTCCAGACCACGTCTCATACTCAATGATACTTGGTCTGGCTATAGCCAGGCTAATAAAGCAATTGAGTCTTCAGAAAAAAAAATGGGGGACTAAACCCCTTGAGTCATATGGATTTCATTAAAATATCTTCATTTGTGTTTGGACTAAAAATTGGACTAAACCCCTTGAGTCATATGGATTTTCATTGAAATATCTTCACAGTGTTTCGAAGATGAACGAAAAGTCTTACCGGTATGGAACGCCATGAGGGTGAGTAAATGATGACAGAATTATAATTTTTGGGTGAACTATCCCTTTAAATAATTTCACACCCGGGTTTAAAAGTGCCCAGTGCAGTTCTGCCTAACATCTTCATTAATTCACCTCTACTGAAGACCCACATTTCAGGTCAGAAATACAGCATTACTCATTTCAGTATTCATTCTGCACAAATTCAAGCTGCCTGGCCTCGTCTTCTCAAAGTTTTGACATAAATCTGTTCTTTCGATGAGCTGACACAGAGAAGAGAGATTTACATGCAGAGTTTTGTGTTGAAAATTGCTTTGTTTACTCCTCGAATTGGATTCCATTAATCTGTTCTGCGATGAGATTACTTTGTCTTTATTCCAAGCTGGAATCAAACATCTGTGTGGAAGTGTTTGTAGATCAGCTGTGTTTACCCTCACTGACATCCTCACAGTTAGGAATAAGACTTTACTGTGGAAACTGAAGAGCAAAGCAGACTGCGCTTCTCATAGTCGACAGTGCTCACACACTGAGAGCTGCTTGAGTTTGTGCGCGTGACTGTGTTTGTGTGCTTATCATGTTCTCACCTGGACCAGATGTGCATATGATTCATGGCCCACGAAGAGACACCAGACTCTTCTAACAGATGGCGCAGTCTTTGGAAAGAAAACAACTAATTTTCTCAAAGTTGCTTATAATCGACCAAAAAAGAGGGGTTTTGACAGTGTAGTTCGCAGCAACTGGTAGTGTGATGTTAAAAATATTTATGGGGGAACCGTCAGGGTTCTCTAGGTCCTAAGAAGGAGAGAGAGTTGTAAAAAATTTGATTTACGTACTTTCTAAAGCTATTTTTGGAATTCATAAATTGACAATACACATGAAATAAACCCTTAAAATCTGCGTATTCAGTTTGTGTTGTGTTGACGCCCATTTTCTCCAATATTAGAATTTCCCGCCTAACAATTCCTGTTCTGTGATTGGTGGTTCCATACTGCATCTTGCGGTGGACATCCGACTTCCAACTTCGGAGTGTGAGGAGGCCGCGTCGCATATTCTGGAGCGGCTGTGAATTTGCTACGCATCCAAATCACCCCAAAATTTACGTAAAAATTCAAAATGGTCACTTCCTGTTGCCAGCAGGTGACGTGTGTTCAGGGCGGGACTGTTGTATAACGTATAACATTTTGCGCAGGTCTGAGGATGTACACTGAAGTTACAACAACTTCCAGTTTCATGGCGAATGATGGACACCACGGACACGCCCATCGACGAAAACAGCAGATAGCACAACTTTACATCGTCAATGCCTTTAGAAGGCACAGCAGAAATGTGAAGTCGATCCGACTAAATCCCTAGGAGGAGTTCGCTAAAGTACGGAGTTTGTAAATCGTCTCAAAATGGCCGCCAAATTCAAAATGGCGGACTTCCTGTCGAGTCTAGGGTATGGGTTCTTGAGGCGTTTTTGTGCGTCTTGATATGATACATGTTCCCACCAAAATTCGTGCATGTAGGTTGAACGTGGCGCCAGCGAGCCATTTTGCCACGCCCATCCGCGAAACCCACAAAATAGGAAATTTTTCACCAGTCCTGATATGCGTGCCAAATTTGGTGAGTTTTTGAGCATGTTGCGGCCGCGAAAATGGCGCTTAATTACTTTGCAGAAGAAAAATAAAAAAATAAAAAAATAATCCCAACAGTTTCAATAGGGCCTCGCACAGTTAGTGCTCGGGCCCTAATTAGTAAATAAAAAAGAATTAGGTGTGAGGGTTAAGTCTTTTCGATGCTTAGGAATGAAGCATGAATTTTCCACCAAACCATTTTACCGGAAATCCCGCCCTTCAGATCATTTCGTTGGTTAAGGTTATAGTCACGCATAGGTTTAGGGATAAGTGTTTGGTGTAGCCTATCAGTACTGTGATTGACATGACAAATAAAATGATAAAAACTGGCACCCAGGCGGTGTTTCCGCTAAACTGGTTTGAGAAAAATCACGGCAATAGCCCTTTTCACACAGCAATCCCGGTAAATTAGCGTAAAAATGCCATAATGACTTTACCGGTAAATAAACGAATACGCTGTTCACTAAAGCAACGTCGTTCCGGCTTTTTAAGAGACCATTCACACATCAGCTCAAAAATACCGGTAAAATCCGTGATGTCAGTCATCTTGAGCGCGACACGTTGAAAAAGCTGAGCGACGTGGCACAACGGTCCGTCAAAGATAATCGTGTGGCACATATTTACTTGAAAAGCGTACTGTAAACAGCAAACACGCCATTTCCATAAGAACTTTATGATTGGCCCAAAGTAGACGTCAACACGTTCTTACGTGATCATACCGGTAATCTTCATTCCATGTTCATAAAGAGCACATTAACGGTAATTTACTGGTAGTGTTACAACTTCTCTTACTGGTAAATTGCCAGAACCAATTTACCGTTTTTTTGTTTTGTTTGTTTTTTTGTTTTGTTTTTTTTGTTTTTTTGTTTTTGGAAAAGGTCGCATACCATCAAGACTGTATGTGTGACTGTATGTGTGTGGGTTAATGAGAATTTGCCGTATTTGGACATGGGCATGGCTTCCTACACCACCCGGATTTGGGCAAATTTGAAATGACAGGAAAATTTACTAATCAGATTGTCCCTCTTAAAGTTAATTTGAAGTTGTTTTCTTGTTTTCACTAAGTTTGTGAGAAGTTCTGCCCGCCGTTCAGATATTCATACAACAAGATATTGTTTTGTGACAATGATCAAAAATGCTGGTGCTGGATCGCAACTCTAAAAAAAAAAAAAAAAAAAAATGCTGGCTGGGAAAGAGTTATTATCCACACCATTTTCAAGATTAACTTTTAAAGAAAATCTGCAGTAAATCCACAAAGGGATACCTACACCAAAGCTTAATTTGCTGCATAAAGCCAAAGCTTTTGAAAGCCTTTCAGCCAGTTATAAGCCATTCATCTAGACGACAGCATCTGCAAGAAGATATAGCTTTACTGCTGGTATTGTTTGCTGTTTGGATAAGTTATTTACAAAATCTAACAGGTTAGGTGACTGATTTTATTCTGGCCGCCACTGCAATTGTTTTATATGTTAAGAAAACAGTTATGTTGCTGAATTACTGGTCAATCTGTAAATACACCGACTCAGTGACCAGTATGCATATTTGCTGTAATTCTGCATAATAGTTAAATTTTTCATATTTTTATTACAGTGAAATTATTGTGTGATGATGCAATTATGAGGGTTTGGTTTAAATGATGCAGAATTTATTGTAAGAACTATATTAGCTATCGAACTTGTTACTGGGACACTGTACAATAAAGTGTTACCGAAAATAGCAATATGTATGCCGCAGCTCTGCTAAGTTAGCATACACTTTATAATAATTACACATAATAACAAAACATATTATGATAAAATGGATGTTATTGTTAATATTGTTTTATAAGTAGTTTATGAACCAGTTATATAGGCTATTTACATGATTTTAGGTTAATTGACATTGATCAT